CGAGCCTCCACTGCAACCTGTAGCAGCAGCGGCGGATCCCTCTACACAGCCCTCTCTCTCTCTTTCTCTCTCTCCCCTATAGCAGCAATGTGAGCCTCCAGACGGCCCTCTCTCTCGCCCCTGTTTCTGCCCACCACCAGCACTACCATAGTCCTCTTTGCTAGTCGTGCCACCCTTACTACCGTAACTCCACGGAATTGTGAGTGATGACAAAGAATAAGCATCACCACCCCACACATCATCTGGAAGCTTTGACTTATTTGTTAAGCAGCAAGCACCTCTGCCCCCATGCCCTCTACCAGCCCCATCAATAACCTGCGGAGTGCCACTTGTCTGAGCAGGGGTTGCGCTCAGCAGGCTCGTGTTGAACATTTGTGGAACTGCTAAGCAGGCTTGTGTTGTTTGCTTTTAAAATAAATGTTTCCATCACAATAGACACATTCTAGACACATTCTCGCCGAAACTAAAATCTCCACTATGGTAATTGAACATCCAGCAACCGGGAAACTGAAGGATACGCTGGAAGGATTTTTAAACCGCCATTCCCTTCTTTGTACACATCATCCTCGAGCTGCAAGTCGGTAACGAGCTGCAAGTCTGAACTGCCGGAAGTAACAACTGCATCTGAATCCTCTCTCTGAACTGCCTGACCCCTCAATGCAGGTTCGCCGCTGCTGCGCCCATTTTCATTGCAGCAGCAGCGGACCAACAGTGACAAGAGAGAAAAAAGGGAGAGAGAGAGGCTGGAGGTGGAGGGGAAGAACAAGAGAGAGGGAGAGGAATGAGAGAAGAGAGATGCATTTGAGCCGCCGCTGCTAGAAGTTGCAGCAGCAGTTCCCTGTTCATCATCAAGACAGATGTATTTGCGGCTCCTGGAGGAGTTCCATTGCTTTGAGTGGCTGGAAGTCCAAGAAGAGCAGTGAAGCAAGGAGTTCTGCAACTCCCAGATCTTATTTTTCCTCCGCCCCTTCCCCTCTTCGTTCTCCCTCTCCACCTCTCTGCAAGCTGGTAGATCAGTTAACCTGACTTGCATTCGAATCTAAGAAGGAGCAAAACAGTAAGGGTTAATCATCGTTCTCCCTCTCCACCTCTTCTCGGAAAAGCCTCCGAAAGAACTTGAAGATTTGATAGCGAAATGGTTCTGAAATTTTCTTAACAAAATTGGCAGAGGTAAACAGATTTTTACATTAAGAGGGTTAATCATCGTTTTCTCTTCACCACAGAGTGGAGCTCAAGGGTTTTTATCGGCAGATTGCCAGGAGGTGCCGGTGGGTCTCTTGAAGAAGACGGTGAAGAAGGAGAAGAAAAAGAAGGGAGAAGGAGAGGGATGAAGGGTAAAATTGGGTTTTTCAAAAAATAATATATCATGTGTGACGGAATATTAACGGATCCTAACAGTAAGGGTAGAGTTAGCCAATTGTCAGAAACAGTAAGGGTAGCATTAGACAATATTCAAACAGTAAGGGTATACTTAGTCAATTAGCTAAACCATAAGGGTAGTTTAAGAAATTATCAAAAAAAAAAGCTAATAACTCTACAAGTCTTCTTCCACCATGATATTCTCAGTCCAAAGATGTATGTACCCAGCCTTAATCACTTGAGGATAAACAATTGAATTTCCAGTGCCGATGACTCGATGAGGCCTGCAAACACCATCAGTAACATACTCATACAAGTGACCACCAATGCCCAAGGTTCCTTGGTTCCCAAGACTGAAGCCATCAAAGTTTAGTTTGATCATAGCAGGTAGCAATCTTCTAATGATATCATCCATGGATGCTATGGAGCCACTAGTGCTATTTCAATTTACAGCATTAACTAAAGCAGGATTTATTCTGAAATGAACAAGAAATTCTTTCATTTTCATTTAAAGTGGCATATTTTTCTCGTCAAGTTTTATTGGGAAAATGTACAATGCGTGTTTGGTATGCCTCCACAAAAATTAAGTGGTTTATTTTTTATTCCTGTATGAAGTTCTGAATGAAGCATATGTAATCCATTGTAGCTCCAAAGCCTTTTTGTTTTGTGGAAGAGATAAGTCTTTGTGGAGCCACTCCATTGTGCAATATCAATTATTTCAAAGATCTGAGTGGCTTTGGATCTCTTTACATGAAAAATAGGTTCCAGGGTATGAGGATGGTAACTTTGTTGGTCCCACAATCTTATCAAATGTGACAAGCAGCATGGAATGTTACAAGGTATTCTTGTGCTTTCAGTCCTTTTATTAATTTATTCATGTTTTTGGAATGGTTGAACATGTGGAAATAATGCTTACTTGAACCCAAGTCCCAAGACCATGTCATAAAATTGTATAACACTGAATATTGTGTTAATCAGGAGGAGATCTTTGGCCCAGTTCTTCTTTGTATGCAGGTATACTAGTTCTTGCTGGTCTCTTCTTTTGAAGTTCCTCATGGATTACACTTGAAAGTTGAAAAAGCACTAATAAAATTTTCTTTTGATGTCACACACATATAGGCTGACAGCCTAGAAGAGGCCATAGACATTGTCAACAGAAACAAGTACTTTCTCAGCTCAGCTGTCTTCAACCTTGTCGAATCACTAATTTACTTTCTGTAGATTCCTTTTCCCTTATTTTGTTGTTCTGCCATTACAGATATGGAAATGGCACATCTATATTTACCTCATCTGGTATAGCTGCAAGGAAATTCCAAAATGAGATTGAAGCAGGCCAGGTAAGTAAATCACTTCTCTGCTGATAATATATAAAATCCCTTTAAGAAATATGGAGAACCGAAGACCAGCATACACTAGGACAAGGTCTTGCAAACTATGTTTTTAATTGTTAAAATGTCGATACAGGTGGGCATTAATGTTCCAATTCCAGTTCCATTGCCCTTCTTCTCTTTCACTGGAAACAAGGCATCATTTGCAGGCGATCTCAATTTCTATGGTACGATGTATTTCTGAATCTTCTGCATTTTTTTTTTCTCTTTCAGTAGACAGCTAATAGAGGAGTCGACTTGGACTATATTCTGAACTTACAACTTAGAGAATATATTTTCTGGATTTCAGGTAAGGCCGGTGTCCATTTCTACACTCAGATGAAAACAATAACTCAACAGTGGAAGGATTTACCAGGCCAAGGAGTATCACTAGCCATGCCAACTTCTCAGAAAGCATAAAAACCCAAGATCATGCATTTGTTTCTTTGCTGAAGTGAATCATTTGTAAACGCATGAGAACCAATATTATTGCACTTTGTTCAACTCTCCAGTTTTGTGCACGTCCATGATTGCTTTTTTTTTTTTTTTGGCTTGCCCATGCCAAAGAGAGCTGCGAAGAAGTGGATAACCGAGCTTACATCAAACCCGTCCTCCCCCTTTCAGTTCCATTCATGCCCCGTTGTCTTGATTGGAATTGGACTTGATCTTCTGGTACATGGAGGGATGAAACTTTCATTATCCAATTGTCCCAAGTCCAAATAACATGAATGAGGGTTTCTTCAACGCGTAAGAGCTATGTATTGTGTTGTGCCCTCTCTTGAGATGCCAAAGTGTTTAGAGAAAACAATTGTATTCCTTCTAATAGATTTCATTTCTACGAGCAAGGGTTTAGAGAAAACAATTGGATCGTGGGCATGGGTACAAAACTACAAATTTGGGGAAAGGTGAAGAGAACTCAATCAGGTTAACCAACCGGCATCATGCTATTGGTGACCAATCAACCGTTATTCAAATTTACGTGACTTTTTATTGGTTAAAGTATTTTAGGTATCATAAATTGAGCTCGCATTCAGTGGATCCTTCGGCCCACAAGATGCGTGCACCCTTCAATAAATTTTAAACACGTATGCTTGTACTTTTATTAACAGGAAAACTAACGGGATTCTTAACGGCGAGTTGTATGGTTGAACCGGGTATTCAAAGCTTTAAAACAAAGAAAATCTACTCCCTTTTGACCAGGTACTGAAACGAACAAAGTTACAAAGTATTGATACAACCAGTGGCACCAACGTCTAACGACAGCATTTAACCAGCAACCAAGGTTCAAAGTATTGATACATATAACGACAGCATTCAACAAGCAACCAAGGTTCAAAGTATTGATATATATTGGTCTGTATTGATCGATATGTATCGTGCCGATGGTTTACCGATACGCCCCTCCAAGGGTTGTATCGGGTCAGCCACCAGTTTAAAGGTAGCCGGGCCTTAAACCGGTTTCCAAAAAATAAATAAAACATAAAATAATGTATCGACACGGGCGTACTGACATATCGGCCCGTATTGATATTTAGAACTTTGCCAGCAACTACATTTCCCTCTTCTTCTCATAGAGGTTAGGGTTCCACGGTTCTACCCTACCCTTCAACTGGGACTCTTTTTCATTCTTCACCGGCGGTTGCTGGCTTGTGCATCTAATGCCAGAAATTGAACTATTAATATTCAAAGTCCACATGTTTATTTTGGACTCTCCAACATTTAGTTTCCTCAGATTAGTCCAGCCAGAAATTTGTTTTGTTCAGATTGATTTCAACATTTTGCACAGGAGTTCATTTTGAGATGTCAACATAGTAACGGTATCGGTTACCCAAACGTTAGATTACCTTTGAAGAAGATACAATTTTAGCTTGCTTAAACGGCTGCAAGTTGAAATGTATTTGCCATTTGATAAAAAAAAAGTGATCGACATTCAAATATATGGTGCTGTTGAACAAAAATGAAAAACAAAAAAATACGCATCAAATGTGTAGAGGCTGCAACTAATTCATGGGAGTCGTTGATAGGCTGAGTTTTGTTGATCCCGACTTTGGGTGTTAATCAGTGGTCGGTTGAGGGTAGGAAGAACCTTAACTTGACGAAGAAGTAAAAGATGTCAGTGGTCTAGTTAATGGCTAGGTTTAGATCGGAGATAAACGAAAATGGATTTCAGATAAGAGAGAGGAAGAGAAGCCTGTTCATTTGAATGTTGAAGAGGAAGAATTTTTTTTTATAAGTTTTTAATACTCGGTCCAATCAAGAAACTCGCCATTAAGATAAGAATCCCGTGAGTTTGCCTATTAAGAGTCATAAGCCAACGTGTTTAAAATTCATTGGAGGGTTTCATGCGAGCATGTGCATACTTGCCTTGAGTTCCATAATACCAATTGCCATGTATGGTGATGCATGTGCATTTTTGTGCGTCATCTTACAATACTTTTAAAAATTCTGAAGTTTTGTTAAGAATATTTTGCTTTAGTATAAATTGAAATACTCAAAAATATCAACCAAAACAAATATCCAAGTAAGAAATGTTAGGTTTTAATTTCTGTTAAGTGGGCTTATATATTCAATGAAACAATTGTATTGATGGGCTATCTTGTAAATGGGATAAATCAAGTGATTCATTTATGCAAAGCCCGTAGACTTCAACAAAAGGGTATGGGGCTTAATGAGTGGATACCACATTTTGTCCCATATAGGCTTAATGGGATCCTATGAGGTCAAAATATAAAGGCTCCTAGGTTATGGTTCCCAATATATTAAATCATCTAGCCGCCCTCTTGCTCTATCCCATTAGAGTCAAAGAACTGAGAAAACCTAAGGAAGAAGGAAGATTTAACTGAGGAAAACTACACCAGTCGACTAACCATTGATTCATCACTCATTCAGCAAGGGTTTCAACTACTGTGATCGATACAGGTATTTACGTTTAAACCTCCTTGATAACTGCAGCATGATATTCTTTGGGGTGCAATATGACTTATTGTTCTTCGTATACATGAATGGTATTGGTATGATTCTGCAAGATTGAGGATTGCTTGCTCCCCCTTTATTTATTTATTCTTACAAGTGGTATCAGAGCCTTATATCATGTTGGGTTATTAGGATTACTGTTTTCTCTTTTTTTTTAATCGATTTCTTTGTGGATGCCTCTCGATCGATACAGTCGTTCGGCTGTGTGTGGTTTCCAAAGCAAGGCTGTGTCGACTAACAAAAAAAAAAAACAAAGACGCATTATGATGATTCAATGCGGTTTCAGTCGACCAAAAAAAAAAAAACAACGCATTGTGATGATTCAATGTGGTTTCAGTCGACCAAAAAAAAAAAAAAAAGAAGGGAAGACGCATCAGTGTTGCGATGCGCCTCTGGAACCCAAGAATTCGCATTAGTGATTCGATGCGAACCGACTCAATTTTTTTTTTTGAATCGTGATTTGCATGCACGTAAGCAATTTGCATGTGTCCGGTTTTCTCTCCTTTTGCATGGAAGTACCCTTGAACCTTTTTTGACTTTGTCATGCATGCGATGAATACCGTTTTGGATGAATACTTTTTTCTTTTCAAATTAAATTGATTGAAGCAGCATATTACCAAAGTAGCCTCTGCAGTGTAAAATTAATTTGATTTGAAATATAAAGATTTTGTGTGTTCATTGTCCATGCGGACGTTGATTGGCCCAAAGGAAGGTTGATGTTTGGCCAGGCAATGAATACACATGCGATGATGAATATTGATAATGTAAAGCTATCATCCATGTGAATAATAGTCGGTCCAAAGAAAAGGCTATTGTTTGATAGGATTTATTATCAATGTTTGATTGTTGCATTGAGAGTACCATTTACAATTGATATTTCTGTGCAAACACTAAATGTTAAGTTGTGCTGGGTATCTTGCCTTTGAAATTTATATTATTGATTATATGTTGTTTTTGTTTTCTGTCTGGTTTCAGTAATTGCAAATAATGTTTCTACTCAAATCAGTGCCATTCCCATGCTGAATGGTACAAACTTTAAGATCTGGAAAGAGAATGTGGAAATCGTTCTCGGCTGCATGGATTTAGACCTTGCGTTAAGGACGGAACGACCCATCCCGGTTGAGGACAATTCCAATGAGGCCAAAGTTGAGAAATGAGATCGCTCTAATCGCATGAGTTTGATGATTATGAAACGTTCCATACCGGAAGCGTTTCGGGGCTCTAATGCTAAGGAATCCCTTGTGGCGATACAACAGTATTTCGTCAAGAATGAGAAAGCGGAGACTAGCAACTTTTTAGCTACTCTAATTTCTATCAGGTACAAGGGAAAAGAAAATATAAGAGAGTACATACTGGAAATGTCGAATTTTGCGGGTAAACTAAAGGCACTAAAGTTAGAGATAAATGATGATTTGCTCGTGCATTAATTCTTATTTTTCTTCCTGCACAATTCAGTCAATTTAATGTGAATTATAATACTCAAAAGGAGAAATTGACTCTTAATGAGCTCATTTCAAAATGTGTGCAAGAGGAAGAAAGAATCCAGAGAGAAAAGATGGAAAGTGCTCACTTAGCATCAATCTCTCAGAATAATAAAAAGAAGAGGACTAAGGATACCGCAAATGGAATACCCATGCAGAAAAAGGCGAAGAAGCAAGGTGATAGATTTACCTGTTTTTTCTACAAGAAAGGATGACACATGAAGAAAGAATGTCCCAAATACACCGCCTGACGTATAAAGAAGTGTATGTCTCTCACTTTAGTTTGTTCTGAGACTAATTTAGCTTCTGTACCTATAGATACTTGGTGAATAGATTCTGGCACTACTACCCACATAACTCGCCATTAGGATAAGAATCTCGTGAGTTTGCCTATTAAGAGTCATAAGCCATCATGTTTAAAATTCATTGGAGGGCTCATGCGAGCATGTGCATACTGGACTTGATGAATAGATTCTGACACTACTACCCACATAACTCGCCATTAGGATAAGAATCCCGTGAGTTAGACTATTAAGAGTCATAAGCCATCGTGTTTAAAATTCATTGGAGGGCTCATGCGAGCATGTGCATACTGGACTTGAGTTCCATAATACCAATTGCCATGTATGGTGATGCATGTGCATTTTTGCGCGTCATCTTACAATACTTTTAAAAATTCTGAAGTTTTGTTAAGAATATTTTGCTTTAGCATAAATTGAAATACTCAAAAATATCAACCAAAACAAATATCCAAGTAAGAAAAACATGATGAATGAAAATTAATTAGATCATGTAATGTTTGAATGCGATTGATTGAAATCTTAATATTCGAAACTATGTTGTGGTTGGATTATATTTATAAACCTAATGTTTTAGGTGGAATAAAATTTTCCTTTTTTATGAAAATTGGTATCCAACAATGACCTTGCAAATTTTAGATTCTTTTACTGTAGAGAGATGGTGAGAAGAACCTATGAAAATTAAAATAAAAGGACGCAAGTAATTTTGTAGGGCGAATAATCCAGGACCTGCATAAATATCTTTTTTGTTTTTAAAAATTTTCATTATATTGTAAAAAAATAATGGGAGTTGCTACCGCAACTCTCTTGTTTTAGCCTTTGTAGGTAGGACCTATATAACCTATTCGATGGTTTTCCCATTTGTCAAACTGTAATGCATGTGGAGAATTATAGTCTTAAGAACAGGACCAGGCAGGCCCATAGTCCCAACGATACATACATACATACATATGTAATTTAGATGTGGGTCCTACTCCTATGTCCCCTTCCAGATGTTCTCATCATCTTAGAAACACTAGAAAGCATATTATGACACTTGTTAAAGTTAGCTAGCTTGGGAATTGGAATTGGAATTGGGATTGGGATAGGGATAGCAAGAAGTCAGTCAGCTGTCTTTGTTATAACCTATATATGAAATAACAGAATTTTGACTGTTTTCATTCCTTGTGTTGTTGGATGAAGGATAGTTGGATAGTCGGATACGGCAGCCGAGCCCAAGCAGATATTATACCAAACAAACCCTCGAATTTGGAAGAAACCAAACCAACAGGTTATAGGTCGAACCATTTTGCTGACCAAATGACGATCGACGGCACATGGGTTCAACCAGACCAGCCCAACCCGTCGAATTTACGCCTGCACAGTGCACAGTGCACACTGTATTGCCTGCCCTATCGTCTGATCGTCGTCCTAGACCTAGTGGCTACTGGGCTAGGGCAAATAAACCCAACCCAAATTATTGCTCGGTTGTATGATGTACGTGTACCCTCCATCATATTCAATGTTATTCATCATCCACCACAACCAACTAGCCAACTAGGCAAGGTTTTTGTGTTGTCCTTTTTCTACCGCTATTAAGGAACTAAGGATTACCCTTCCTTCCTTCCCCAGTTCCCCCCGTGCCTCGTGGGCGGTGGGCCCTGGCCCGCACTCCCCGTCCCCGGCGCAAAATAGCGAAGACGCGTCCTGCACTATGCAACTCAAACATAATGATGTGCATCTGCAAATTCTTTTACAATTACTCGTTTTAAACCGTTCGATCTGAATCTCACGACCATGTCGTACACCCAGACCTGGATCAAAGGCCACTGGTAGATGTGAAAATGGGGTGGGTGGTACTGGTACGCGATATTATTATATTGCTCGACTCGAAACCCTCGAATTCCATAAATTAAAAGGAAAGCGGCTGTTGGCCGACACAGCTGTCACCCAACTTGTGCATGTGAGCCTCTGTCTCCTCCTTTCCCTCCTTTGTACCAGTGCTGTGGTGTGTCTTTCCCGCTTCACAGTTCACGCTCTCAAAGCACCGGGAAAGAAAAGAAACCGAAGACTGGTGTAGTTCTGAAAACCGGCGACTTCCATGGCTTCTTCTTCAAGCTTTATACTCCTGTTGGGTTTCTGTCTCCTCTTCATCGGTTGCAGATCAGCTGTTCAAGTTCAGGCCGAAGACATGAGCTTCCAGCTAACGACACAGGCCCTGGAATGGCCTTCTACAATGCCATTCTACGATGAATTCGGTGAGGACGACGACGTAGATGGTGGAACGAGTCGGAGGTCTCTGTTCTGGAGGACGACTCACTACTACATTTCCTACGGTGCTCTCTCCGCCAACAGGATCCCTTGCCCACCTCGCTCCGGGAGGTCGTACTACACTCATAACTGCTACAAGGCTAGAGGCCCTGTCCATCCATACACCAGAGGATGTTCAAAGATCACCCGTTGCAGGCGATAGCTTTTTATTCGTTTCGGTTTCCACGATCTTCATGTCGCCTTCCATCATCTGGGTTTGTTTTCTTTTACCTACGATTTTATTTATTTTTAGCTGCTGAATAATTTAGGGCTTGGTCTTGAACTCCTGAAGATCCTATCAGATTTTTGGGTAAGTGAGGGTATGATGGAGACTGGAGGAGGCTGTTCGTTTTTCTTTCTTCTTTCTCAATGTAGGAATTTATATTTATGTTTAACGTTATTTACATATATGATGGCCACCATTTATCTATGGAAATATAATGTGATTCCTGTTGCTTAGTTTGTTGGGTTGCCGCCTCTGATATTCCTCCTTTGTGATTCTGACGCGATTATGTGTGTGAAAAAAATGCATTTTCCCTTTCATTTTTCTTTTGCATCTGCTGAAATGATCAAACATTGGACCATCTGTTCTTTCTGAAGTGAGATTTGCTTTGCTCTTCTAAAACTGGTAATTTTGCTTACTTGGGTTGTATTAATAGGCGAAATGTACCGTTGAACTTTGCTCTTTTAATGGAAAATGTAAATGGGGTTTGGCACTGTTAAAGAACTAATCTGAATCTCTCTCTCTCTCTCTTTCTCTCTCTCTCTCTCTCAAAAAGTAAATGAACTAATCTGAAAACTGAAGCTTAAAGATTTGAAAGGAAAATTTAGAGGAGTAACTTTGTTTTGAAATTGGAGCATTGTGTTCTGAGAAGAATGTGAGAAGAAAGGGATTGTGAATCATTGATCGGACGAGGTCAAGATCGAAAGTTGGGAACACAACTTTGTTTTCTTGTATTTGATCCATGATTCCCACCCATCTGGCAATCTCGAATTATTTGGGGGTTGGGTTTGAACATTGATTGCTCTACCCCTTTTGGTTCACAGTTTATTATATGTGTTCCGCAGGTTCTGGATCATAGTGATTTTTCTTTTTATCTGAGGTTTAGAGAGGCCAGTAGTTAAAGAACGTGAAATCTTGCGTTTTAACTTTTTTTTTTTGACCTTTTTGGATGATATGGGGGTGGTTCTTCTTTTCTTTCATGTGACCGAGACAAATTTTGTGAGGGGCCAAAACCTAATGTGGTATTAACATAGACGGCCATTGAAGGGGGCCAAAGCATTGAGGGTGTGCTCTCCTGCCCACAAGAACTCTGCCACGCCTACCCACAATACATTATCCCCGTGAATTGGGAACATCTCCCCCTGCATAATACTATGCACAGGATGAGATGTTCTCCATGTGTGGCTGCGATAAACGTCAGGAGATCCGGACTCTGGAGAGTGGAAGAGGGGAAAATTATAAATGGATAAAAATCGGACTGGACACTGAACCGTTTTGGGGACCGGTTCCAGGTCAAACTGTCTGATCATCTGGTTCGAATGGATGGTCTATTTTAATTCAAAAAAATAATAATAATTAAAATAAAAAACAGTCAAAAACCGTTGTTGAGTCAATGGTTCGACTGCCCAGGTCATTGGGTCGCTGACTAAATCAATAGTTTTTAGCTTAGGAGCGGGAACCAATTGTCTGACCAACTCCTGGGTCAATTGGTCTAACCATCTGGCCCGGTCCGGGTTTCAAACCCATGTTGTCGGCCATAGTGGGGCTATGGCCCCCCTGGGTCCCTCCTAGCCCCACCCCTGCAGAGAAGAAGCTAACCTTTTCTGATGGATAGAGAAGAAGCTAACCTCGGTTGGGTTTTCTTTCTTTTGTGCCATATTCAACTGAGAGCTTTCACTTTCGATGAAATTGTTGTCACTGGGCTTGTATCTTAGGCTCTCAGTTTGGGAAGAGTGCAAGTTTCATTTACATTACTGTAATAGCGGAAATGCATGTGCTGAGTGTAAATTCTGATTTTGCCTTTGTGAGAAGTAAAATGGTGTGGTTTCACCTTATATTTAAGAGGGGAGGTAAGAGGAGGGGATTATTTAATTGAGTGTGGTAGGAAGTTAGGAACTAGGAAGCTAGACGATGGATGATGTGGTTCCCAGTTTATATGAGCAAGAGCTGAGGTAAGAGGAAGGTGGTGCAAATTTTGTATCAACTATTGAGATTCAAAATTTGCATTGTGAATAAGTGAAAGGAGAAAATGTAAAAATTTTGTACCAGAAGAGTGCAAATCATAATTACAATTAAATGAATGCAAACAAAACTGAACCATGTGCAAAATCTGTATCAGGTTCAGTTTTGCATTATAAACAAACAAGGACTTTAGGGTTCATTTGTTTGCAGTGTAATTTTATTTGCATTAATGCAAATGGATGCAAATGAGAAGAATGCATATTTCGATTCACTTTTGCTTTGTGGTTTACATTGCTTTAGGTTATATTTTACTTCATTTTCACTCTAAACAAACTAAGGTAAAAGTTGAAATAACAAACTAATCAGAAATTACACTAAAATCATTTGTGGTCCCATATTTTTTGGCTTTTGCAGTGACTAGTGGAATGGCCCGTGCAATGCACGGGGTATTTGATATTGATGGTGATATTTGACTATGTTTTTATATATTGGGTATAGATTTGTAATTTATGTTATTTTCTTCAATTTTTATGATTTTCTATTTTTTTATAAATTTTTTATGTATTTCTTTGTTTTTTATAATTTATATTATTTTCTTCATTTTATGTGTTTTTTTATAATTATTTTGCAATAACATATACATAATGGGAAAAATAGAAAGTTGAGGGTAAACTTGGAAAGTAAAATTAGAGTGTTTTGACCAAACCAATTGCGCCATTCTCATATTTCAGTATGATATATAAGTTTCTATGATTTTCTACATTTTTTGTAATTTTTCAATGTATTTCTTTGTTTTTTGTAATTTATATTGTTTTCTTCATTTTATGTTTTTCATAATTATTTTGTAGTGACAATATATATAATGGAAAAAATAGAAAGTTGAGGGTAAAGTTGAAAAGTAAAATCAGGGTGTTTTGACCAAACCAATTGCAACATTCTCATTTTTTAGTATATATAAGATGTATATATGGTTTAGAAATTTTTATGATTTTTTATATTTTTTTGTAAATTTTTTGTGTATTTCACATTTTCAATTTTTTAGCATGGTATAGAAATTTTTATGATTTTCTATTGTTTTTTTGTAAATGTTTTTGTGTATTTCTTTGTATTTTTTTTTGTAATTTATGTTGTTTTCTTTATTTTGAGGAGAAAGGTGCATAGGATAAAGAGAGGGGTTTAAAGGAGAGAATTGGGGTTTTAGAATTTATTTCTTCGCTTCATGATAATATTTGGTTTTTTGCCTCGTGTCGTTCTACTCATCAATGGTGGGGCTGTTATTTGCATATCTAACGGTTAGTCTTGTTCGAATGAAAATGTATACAGGAAAGGAGCGAGAGATTGAATTCAACTATAGGAGCTCAGAGCTCTCCTTTGAGATTTTAAAGAGATGGTTTTTTTTTGTTAAATACCTATTTTACTCTTCTACGAGCACTGTTCATCTTCTTCCTCATGATACATATCATGTACACCGCACGCCCGACGAAAATAGAAAAAAAAAATATCATAGGAGAAAAGTTTTTATGATTGTCAGAAACTTCAACAGAGGTTTTTGTATTTTACCCTGTGCTAAAATAATATTTTATTATGAACCGATGAGGGTCGTGAACCACTTGAGCCGGGTATTGCAAAGCTTGAACTTGATTTGATCAATTATTGAACTTAGAGGCGAGCTCAGTTCAAACTTATTAATTGGAGGCTTGGAGCTGAGTTACTAGGTCGCTTACTCCCCTACTCCAGGCTCAGGGATTGTATAAGTTGGTCTGGCCTGCCTTGTGGTCATACATGGGAATGTGGAAATTCAACAAGGGCTGTTAATGGATTGTCGTCACCCACCGGACTCTTAAATATGGGTATAAGTTGGTCGCTTATTCCCCTAACCCAGTCGATCAGGACTCATGAGTCGTCGTCACCCACCGGACTCTCAATCCTCAAATCTCAATCAAATAAATCCCCCTGCTGTTTAGTGCTTAGTGCTTACCCAATTTGTGTTATTTGTGTGGTGGAACTGGAAGTCGACCGATGAAGATGATGGACGGTGTGCTTCAAATCTTTATCTTTTCCGTCGTCCACTTGGCAATATGAAAGTGTACGGTCTAGGTGCTTTGCTGTCGATTGGCCCCTTAATCCTTATGTTTTGGACTTTTGGATTTGGTCGTCTGTGTGAGAGTGTGTGTGAAGGCTCTATATATCTATATCTATATATATATATATATATATATATATATAGTAACAGGGAGGCGGGCGTTCCATTAAAAGAAGATGCTCCATGTTCCCTTATGCGAAACTACCTTTTAGGCAATTAGGCATTAGGCTGTCTTTATCAATTCGTTAATGTTGATCAATATCTCAACTTTTAGTTATGTGTTGTGGTTCTTGTGGTTGATAAGTGGGTCCCAAATACCTACCAATACCATCCATCGTTAATTAATTAATGTATGTGTACTCTGATTGTTGGTCCTCGACAGCTGGCTGATCGCGATGAAGGCCAAATAAGAATACCTGATTTCTTGTCTATAGTCGCTTCCAATTCCATTCTTTCTCTACGTAAATGGTAACCTTTGGTTATAACCCGAAACAAATCCAGTTGTCGTCAACAAATTTCTCTCTTGAAAATCCCTTCAGAAAAACAAGAACCACGTTTTATTATCTATAATATTCTATTTGTAACGTTTGGTTATCTATATCTATCCAACCCGCTAACCCCACCCACTCCCTCTTTTTTTTCTCTCTCTTCTCCTTCTTGCAAGTAATTAATTATCAACATCTGGTGTCTGGAATTTGGATTCACTCGACTCAATACATTCATGCATTAATTAATGAATATCAAAGATAGGCTTGACAGATTTTGTTAACCCGGTTCTTGCTTTCTAGGAATGCCTAGACTTACCTCATTTTATTTGATTAAATAGGTATAGATCATAAAAAATAATCCCTAGAACCTCAGCCCACTAGACTAGAAAGGAACCCTTACTCTAAAAAAGAAGAGGAAGAAAATAACTTAGTGGCTCCCCCCCCCCCCCCCCCCCCAAGTCCTCAGATGAAATAAGGGCGTCTTTAGTTTTAATAATATCTAAATCCACAACAATATCGAAATACTCACATTTCGGTTCTAACATTCGGTCCATTGTGTCCACTTGTGCCACCAAACAACACCGACACCTGCTTCGTCGTCGGCACTAACCCATCCACCCTTTGAAAGTTATCCATTTTATATCTATCTGCTATTCCAATCCGTCTATTACATTCTACAAATTAATTAATTATTTATTTATTTAACCGTTCCTTGTATCACATTATCACTGACAACCTTTCTTTCTCGCTCGGCCTAATAGAGTTGATCGTTCGTGGGCCACCTCAAAAATCTGCATTCAATTCAAATGAATGGCTATGATGCTTCGACCCCCACAAGTCACAACCACATGGAAATAAACCCTTCCGAGTTCCGGCCATCAACATTCAACACTGGCTACGTTGTAGTTGTAGAGAGTAGAGAGTAGAGAGGAGAGAGGCTTACCCCTCCTCACTGGTCCAGAGACGTGTCATATCGCTCATCCGCTCGCCTAATTAACTGCGCAATTATACCATCCGTATCAACCACGTGTCTAGTCTACTTATAACTTATAAATACGGGGACCATGAATTAAAAAGAATTAATCCTTGAGAGGACTATAAATACAAATATGTACCAAACAATTAACAAAATACAATGTTTTTAGTGTACATATTTCATTGCCGCTAAATAAAGGGTAAATTATAGATAAGTAATTTATACTTTAGAGTATTGACTGATAAATATTCTTTTGATTGCAACATTTGAATATTCTGAACTTTTTACACATATAGTTTCATCCATTAATATTCCGTTAAAAAAAAAATTCTTTAGTAAGTCAGTCTTGGATGATATTCTCACATGAACAATAAATAATATATTCAAATTTTCTGATAATTGCTTTTCTTAGCGATGATTTTCCGACAATTGCATTCTTTAGTGATGATTTTAGTTTATAGAATGATATTTTTGATATTATGCAATATTTAACTGACAGAATACTAATACTAATAGATGGACCTAAATGTCTAGACATTTACGAAAATTCAAGTTAGTCGAGTGTTACAATTGAAACTTTAGGAGACCTATCACTATTCACTACCCAAAATACAGGATATCTACCTGTAATTTACCCATAAGTAAAAGGTAAGTCAACAGAAAAACTAAATCCCCTATTTATACACAGAGACAATAATCGAACCAAACCGAAAGCGTTAGAGTTAAGTAGTTGTTTGTTACTTGTTAAATACAAATTTCAAGAAGCAAGATAAGAAGAACAAGAACCAATCTCCCACGGAAACAAAACTTTTCTAATCTTTTAAGTCTCTAGCACCAGTGCACCACCAACAAGGAATCCAAATTCTCTACCCTATTGAGCTCACTTCGGATTCAAACGGCATCCATCGATGGAATGGACGAGAGGTAAGCCCGTCGGCAGGGGAAGCTTCTCCACTGTAAGTTTGGCCGTCCCCAGAAGTGGTTGCAGTATAACTAAGTTTCCTCCATTAATGGCAGTGAAATCCGCCTTCGCTTCCAAGTCTTCTTCGCTACGAATGGAGAAAGAAATTCTGACCCATCTCCGTGGTTGTCCTCAAATTCTTCATTGTTTTGGCGACGATCTCACGGTCGAGAATGGGAACCAGATTTATAACATCTTCTTAGAGTATGCCCCAACTGGTAGTCTAGCTGACCTACTCAAGATTTCCGGTGGTTTGTTTGTGGAATCGGATGTTCGACGCTACGCGAGATCAATTCTCCGAGGCCTTCGTTGCATCCACGCAAATGGCTATGTACACTGTGACATCAAGCCCCAGAACATCCTCGTCTGTTCTTATCCAGACGGAAGCAACGGCGTTAAGATCGCCGATTTTGGGCTGGCAAAGACGGCAGGAAATGAGAAGAGGAGAACGGAAGGTGGGGTGTCTGAATTAAGAGGCACGCCGCTTTATATGTCCCCTGAATCCATCGCTCGGAATGAACACGAGGCGCCGGCCGATATATGGGCTCTCGGGTGCGCCGTGTTGGAGATGGTGTTGGGCAAGCCCGCATGGAGGTGTCGGGCGAGCGAGGAGGTCGTCGCCCTATTATACCGGATTGGTTTCGGGGAAGAAGTACCGGAGATTCCAGCGGAATTGTCGGCAGAGGGGAGGGATTTCATAGAGAAATGTTTCATCAAAGATCCTCGGAAGAGATGGACAGCAGAGATGCTACTGAATCATCCATTTGTAGCCGAAGACACTGTTTCATTGTCCGAGTGCGAGAAACAATCTCCATCTCCGAGGAGCGCCTTCGACTTTCCGGAATGGAACTCCCTACGATCGTCGGTTTCCAATTCGGTGGACTCTTCTTCTTCTTCGCCGGTGTCATCGTCGTCATCGGATTCCTTAACTTGTTGTGAAGAAGAAGAAAAAGACCAATCCGATTCTCCTCGTTATTCGGCCAGTCGGATTCGAGAGGTGGCGACGGGACAAGTATCGAATTGGTCGACCTCAGATGGTTGGGTCACCGTAAGGGAGGCAGAATCCTCTGTTTCTCTGGTAGGGCAGTGATGCTGCTGTGTTAGAAGCCGAAGCATGAACTATGAAGCATGGATCGGGATTCGGGAGGGAAGGAGGGAGGGAGGGAGATCAAGAGACACGTTTCATCAGACGGTTCTGATCTCTTCTCAAGTGATTTCACTTTGTAAATATGTGATATGGACCATCGATTTTGATTGATGATGGACCCTGACTCCTGATCCAGTACAAAATTATTTCCCAAGGAGCATCCATCAATTTTGTAAAACATGATGAAAGCCGAAGAAAAGAAAATCAGCATGTGGCACCATAGATAACAGGCCGAGGGCAGATATGCTAATAGATCTGGCTCTCTGTGGCTTATCTTATCATGCTTGAGGAAGCGGACGAGAACACGGGATCTAAAAGACAATCTCTGCTCTCTGGGGCGGGTCCCGGAAATATAAATTAATAAATACATAAAATGTAATTAATTAATGATTCAATATAACAGGGTACACTGTACAGTACACGAGCGGGCACAATGACTTTGCTAAAGACCAAATGAAGGGAAGTGGGGTCTGAGGAGGTAAGGATCAAAGAAGTAGGTGGAGAAAGGAAAGATTGATAACAATGTTCCATGTCTCTGTTGTCAAAAATATTTTCTGTAAACAATTCCTGAGCCGCTTAGCTTTTCAATGGTCAATATTGCTTACTTTAATGGGGGAGGAAATCAGCTTCATACATACATGGTTGCGACTTGCGAGTTTCAAGTTTTCGTTGAAAACTCATTAACTCATCTTTGTAAGCTGCTTGATGTAAACATTCCTTGATTGCATTTGCAGAGGTAGTTTTACTTAAGAATCCTCTGTCATATCTCTTCCTACAAATAAATAAACTTTGTTGTGTATAATGGAACTAGCCAATCCAATGGAAAAATTAAATTAGTTCTGATTAGGGATGACAATTTTTGGATATTCCACTTCTCCGATGCGATGGAATTGGGGATACAGGTTGTCCTGTACGGGATGGGGATGGGGATGGGGATGGGGAGTGAATTCCCCACCCCACCCCACCCAGCCCCAATCTCATTTTTATATCATATATATTAACATATTTTTATATTTTAATTCTTCTTTTATTTTAAGTAAATCCATTTTCTAATATAACTTTTAATTTTAAAATTTCAGTAATAGGAATCAAAATTAGGGATATGTATTTATTTCAAAGTTGGGATTCAGATGAAGAATATGATTTTTTTTGGTGATATCCATTTTCCCATCAAATTCACATTTGGCGTGCATTGAGAATATCTCTCCTACTTGTCACTGAGAGATGTTCCCAATACATGATTGAAATATGGTGTGAAACATTTTTAGGACGCATTCTGTGAGGGGCATGTGTGACTTCTGAGCGACCAATGTACCAGCCCACAATAAAGTGATTGTCTTAGGTTTGCAGATGAGTTCGCATCTCTGCCCCACCAAGCCTCGCCACACACAACGTGCAACTGACACCTGTTCAGTCACACGCGGTGGGGCATTCCTGCGTGTAGGGCTAACGGGACGGACATTAGCCCCGCCCGTTAGCCCCAAGACGATCTCAAAAAGGGCAAAGTTCGAACTTCTCCCATATTCCTACCCCTGAACCTCAAATCGGAGTCTCTGACCCCCGTTCTAGCCCGATCTCTGACATACTGTATGTGTGGTGGCTGGACTAAAAAAAAATAGAATTTGGAGTATGGCCCCTCGGTTTAAAAACAGAGAAAAGCAAAAACGAAAAAAAAAAAAAAAAAGCAGGTGGGCGTTCCCCCAAATCACATGTGATTCACTAGAGGTCCATGGTGGGCCGTGAAAGTTCTCAATGGGCTAGGCTGCCCCATTTGTATCGCTAGCGAACCGATTTAAGCTTATGATTTCATGGACCCAAGGCCCAACCAAATAATCAAATGGGTTAAAAACTAACTATATCTACAATTTGCCGCCACCTGAATACTCAGCTCAGTCGCAAAATTGCATTAGTTGAAGCCAATCCAAGTTGATAATGAGATTGGGCTAGTTATCAGGGGTGATCTTGTCTAACCCGGCCCAACAAAACCCAGCCCCGATTATACTTGTTTATTTTGTTTTATATTAGAAATTATTGTGTATGATATTTTATATTTTATTAGCAAGGCTGGCGCTGTATCCCTTCTCATAAGTGTTAAGCCGAGATACGGCCCGGCCCATGATCACCTCTATTTGTCAGGTTGAGGTCAAGGCTTTTCAAGGTTCCATTGCATACTTCGGAATGTGAACCACCCATTATCCAACACGTGGTAATTTTATCCACGTCATAAAAAACTACATGTAGACAATTCAACCAAGAATTCAATCTGCAACCCACAAAGCGCGTCCCACACACCCCACAGCACATCCCAAGCTCTCAACCGTATATTCAGAATATTTTTCAATGACAATGCTAGAAATGTTCCCAATGCAAGCTTAGATGTGCATGTGGGAGGCACTCTTTGGGGCACAGATATGAAGTCCTCGACAACATTAAACACTGAGTAATTCGTTATTACTCATCAGTTGAAAATCTTATAACCAATCAACTGGTACCAAAAGTGAGAACCAATTCATCAAAATGCACGCAAGGTCCAGTCACCCAACTGGTTGGTAAGGTCTCCTGCTGGTTGTAATGGGTTTAACACCTCTAGGACATGAATTCTTTTGCTTTTACTTTCTTTTAAATTGTCACGTAAATCAAAACAAACAAAAAAAAAACAGTTCTAAATTTGTATTTTTATTTGAAAATTAAAAACGGTTGGACTGGTTGACCCAGGAACCAATAAGGTAACCAGTTCTATTTCACCCTGAAACCATTTTTTGGCCAAAAACCATTGATTTGCTCAGTGGCTCGCTGACCCTAGCGGGCGCGTCAACTCGAACAATGGTTTTGGCCCTTTAATATTTTATTTTTTTTTAGTCAGAATGTGCATTCCATTCTAACTGGGTGGTCAGACTATTCAGCCTAGAAACTGGTCCCCAGAGAGATTCTGTGTCTGGTCCAATTTTTATGCACTTTTTCTTATTTTAAGGACTTGTTTATTTTCAAACCAGCCGTTTTTTGTTTGTCTATGAAAATAGCAATAAAAACAATTGACACTGAAGAACACCCACCTAGGAATGGCAACAGAGTAGGGTGGGGACGAGGAGCCTCTCCCATTCCCATCCCCGTGAAAATCCCCGTCCCCATCTCCGATAATGGGGACAAAGTTATCCCCATCCCCATCTGCATGGGCATCCCTATGGGGCAAGGAGTGCTCTCCCCATCCTTGCACCATCCTTGCCAATGGGGATGAGAAATGGGAAAAATTGCCATCCCTACACCCACCCCCCTTGTGTTTTAGTTTTACCATTGACTCGTGAAGCCAGAGTCTTGTTCATGAAGCATAGTCAAGTCAATGGCATTATGAGCCAAGAAGTCGAGTTAAAACAATAATTGATGGTAAGGCTGTAACTTGGGTCGGGTTGGCCTGAAGAGTTAGATTGGGTTGATGTTCGGGTTAGGATTAAGGTTGAAATTCATGAACCGAACTTTACTTCAGGTTGTGTTGGATTGACCCCTTGAGGAACCCAACTCTATAGTACATGTCATACATTGATTTGTTTAGATGCATGATAATTGTATAGCCCCTACCAAATACTGTCATATCTTTCTTTTAAGATAACCACTTTACTTAATCCTAATTGGAAAGACTAAAACCTTAATAACATATTTTGTATTTTTAAATATTTTATTCTTCATCTCCTCTTTGTTGTTTGATGCCCATAGCTTGATGCCTATGAAAGATCTATCATAAGTCATAACTCATAATCAATTATAGTCTGTCAATCGCTTATTTTTCTGAATTCTATATTAAAAAAAATCAATAAAAACATCAACAAACAAATACTAATAAAATATAGGATTAATGTATGTAATGAAAGTTCAGTTAAGATCTAAGGTTGAGAAGTTCAACAAGATTTTAAGGGATGGGAAGGTTGGGTTGGGCCAAACTGAGGTTGAGATAAGGTTAAAGGAATTAGTTAGGATGAGGATTAAGTAGGTCGGATTGGATTAGGGGTTTAAAACTTAGAATTGGCCTCAATCTAACCTAACCGACCCAACTTGCAGACTTAATTGGAGTTCAGATCTGCGCCCCATAGTGTCCCACAGTACATCCCTGCCGTGTATTAGGAATATCTCCCAATGATACATCATCGAAACTGAAACTATCATCAGAAGATGTTCCCAATGCATGGTGGGAATGTGCTGTGGGACACTGTGGGGCGCCCCTTTGTGGGGTGCAGATGTGGACTCACTTAATTGATAGTCGGACCAATGGCCAAGTTTCTCAAACAGTTCCGAATTGGTTGTTTATTGGATCCAATTTTCACTTTTCACACCTAATATAATAATAATGACAATTGAATATCGATTATGAAAACTAGATAATAAGCATCAATTTTGTTTATCACAAACTCAAAGTAAAAACTTATCTGTTACTTGGTATTCCTTCCTACGCGTCCGTTTGCGAGTTTTTATTCAAGTGCTTATCCTAATAAGCCTTATGATTATATGTTTAAAACTTAAAAGTAGAAAGTAATTCTTTCAAATGAGATAGGTATTTTGAAAATTACACAATAGGCCATGCTAAGATAGAAGTACAAATAAACCCTTCTTCAAAAGTGTTTTAAAAAAACAAAAATTATGAGTTTATTTATTAAAAAGTGCTAATTTGGGGTTATTTCCCATATGAATATAAGGATTCTGGGTCTGTTCTTCATATCGCACTCCTTATAATGACCTCACAGTATGTATTAGCCACATATCAATAATATCTTTCGTACTTGTATATTATTATTCATGAGAGATGTTTTCAATACACAGTGGATGTGGCTGCCACGTCAGTGTGAGGAACAGATCCCAATTCGCATATAAGAACCTATTGGTGTGGTTCGAGCAAAAAATAAATGCTTTTATTAATAAGTGCTTAAACATTAGCATTCCCAAATGGTGCTTATCACAAGATAGAATTTACATTTTACATATATCAAGTTATTAACTGAATATAATAAAAGTAAACTATGAGACGATTAATTCCCAATTGTCACAAGGCCTCACTACTCTCTCACCTTCTCGATCCACCCCCACCCCCCACCCACAAAAAAAAGCAAAATTTCTTAAACTACCCCTAAGGTTTAGGAAATTGACTAACTATACCCTATCGTTTCACTATTATCATAAAGTACCTCTATTGTTTCTCACAATTAGGGGTGGCCATGAGATGAGCTCTTCACGAGTTACTCGATTTCGGTTCGGTTTGATTTCAACCGAGCTTCTAGTCGAACTCGAGCCCAATTTACAGGCTCGTTCAGTCGTTCAAAGTCCGTTCACATTCAAAGTCCAAACTTCTCTACATCTCTCTCTCTCTCTCTCCCCGTTCATTCTCTCTCTCCCTCCTGCCCCTGTTTCATCACCGCCGCTGTTGCAACTTGCAGCAACGACGAACCTCTCCAGCAACACCTCTCTCTCTCTCCTCTTCGTTCTCCCTATTTTCTTCTTCTTCCTCCGCCCCCTCCCAAATCTACAACTCCCACCATTTCTTCTTGACTCGCACTTGAAGAGGGCATCAACACCCCCTTCCCCTCTTCGTTGTCCCTATTTCCTTCTTCCTCCATCCCCCTCCCAGATCTATAACTCCCTAATTTTTTCGTTGACAAGATTTCTCCTCTCCTCCTTTCCTCCCCCAGCAGTCAGACGACTTTAAAAAAGGAGAAGATCACACCCGTTTGTAAATCTGGGACTTGTGACTATGTTTCATGTTCCAATAGAAGATTTGGGACCTGCAAGTGAGAGAGACGTCGTCGTCAACATTCTTGTGAGGAGAGAGACCATGGAGAACAAGTTTGTAAAACCTGAAATAACGATGGCAAAATTGGAGAACATGAAGAAAGAGAATGATGGAGGGAAGAGAAAGAGGTTAGAGGAGATAGGGGCTGCCAGTCCAAAGGAAAGGGATGAGGGTAATATTGGGTTTTAAAAATTTTAAAAGTCACATAGTGTCACATGTATACGGATTTTAACGGAAAATTAACGAATGCTAGTGGCAGTGGTAGAGCTAGTCAATTGTCAGAAAACTTAGAGGTATTATAAGAATAGTTAAACAGTAAGGGAATTGTTTGTCAATTAACCAAATAGTAAGGGTAGTTTAAGAAATTTACCCTTTTTTAATCGTTTCATTAATATTTAATAGACACTCATGATAAGGAAGATTTGTGAATTGTAAAAAATAACAAAGGTATTTTAAGATAATATTAAAACAATAAAGGTATAATTAGTCAATTTTTATAATTTAAGAAACTTGTTCAAAAAAAGGTTTTGAAGTTTTTATTATTCAATCCGAATCCTATCGTATAGGTAGAATGAATTTTGACCGTAAATAGATGCCAAATCTACAAACAGATGCGATTTATGAGACTGTAGATTTATGTGGTGGAGTGCAGTCTACTTATCCCAAGACTTTTGATTGTTCAATCAAGTGAAAAATTAATTGTTTAAATTATAAACACCCCCCCGTACTATGGAGTCTATGACAAATACTCTCTCTACTTTGTTTTGGGACAAAGACCCCCTGTACTATGATTGCGAGACAAAGACCCTCTTCTATTAGCATTCCAAATACTATTCATCTTCACTGACCTCATAATTCGGGCATACCCCATCCTCTGGCTTCTTCTCTCCCTTTGTTCCTTCTTCTTCTTCTTTCTTTTTTTTCTTCATTTTCTTATTCCCCTTGTTCTTGTCCGTGACATTAGAGATGTTACACAGAACGTCATTCTGGTATATTCTGTGGGTCCGTTGGACGAACCATTTAAACTCTACTGCATTGCGTAGAAACTTCTACGTAAGACGCATTCCCTCCAATAAAGCGGCAAATTCATGTTGAACGTTGAGGAAGTCGAGAGCTCACTGCTCACATGCTCTGGCCTCGGAGCTTAGAACTGCATATCTCTCTCTGTCACAGTCTTGTTTTTTCCTTTCTTCTTGTTTGGGAACCCTTCTTTTCCAAATCTTCTACGATCCTGACGTTTTTGGTACACTCGTGGTTCTGAAACCAGCTTTCTCCCGATGGCAGATCGTTTTGCTGAGGTTCCTCTTCCTGTTTCTGTAGAAGAAATGCTAAGAACTATATGTGAGCAACAGTCACTGCCACCTGCTGAAATGAGCGCAATGAGAGAGCTGGCTTTGCTTGGAGAAGAGGCGTCTCTGTAGCTTCTTCAGCGAATTTCCAGTCAAGGAATCTGATCCTTGACAGGATTTATCATCTATATGGCAAGAAGTGTGTGTACAACCGTGTCTAGTCAAGAAAGCGTGTGCTTCTTCGGGCCACGTAGTTCTGAAAGTTCAGCTTCCGTTTCTATGCGAGGTAACTTCATATGTGCATAATCCTCTGTTTTTGGTTCCTCGTGAATATCGTCGTCGTCATCGTTTTCATTTCAACATTTCTTTATCCCCATATTAGGTAATTATGCACTGACAGATTTCATTTGTCGTGCCATTATCTTAGTAAAGTTGTAATTGCAACTTATAAATTATCTCTCTTTAAAATGTCATTGGTTTTGTTTAGCATTTGGCAAACACCCCCATCCACCTTCCCGATTTAGGTATTCTGTAACATATCATGCCTTGGGCAGTTTCTGAACTTTTGAGAAAATAGGAGCCGTATAAGTTGTCTCTGCAATCTTCACTGATTTGGGTTCCCCCTTAATTCACTGCTTCTTGTAGGCTATGGTGATGCTACCTCTCACTCTCCGAGGTTAGATCATCTCTGTAGGTAGAAGAGCGGCTTGGGTTTGGAGGGGATGAGCAGAGAATCCCTTCTCCTGGCGTTGGGTGAACTGGAATTTAGGAAAGCCTTCTTGATATCAAGTTACATTGGCAAGTAAATATATGCTTAGCCCCTGCGAACTATCCCACTGCTTTCAACCTTCACAATTTGCAAAAACAATCATCGTCTTCAACCTTGGGTGCACCATTCGGAGCTTGTGACCAAGGGTTCGGTGAAGAGGAGAGCGACAAGAGGATTGTTTCTTCTCAATTCTACTAAATGACGCACCCAACTATTCATCTTCTTTAACCTTGAGACGAAGAGGAGAACAACAAAGCACGGACCGCGTGGAAGAAGAAAGAGGAGGAAATAAAGGGAAAGGGGAAGGAGAGAGAGAAATGTAAAAAAATCTGAGATAGAGGGGATTACCGCCGCTGTTGTTCGTGCATCATGAGTTGGGAGAAGATAAATAATGTTTTTTTCCCAATTATGCGAATAGTTATTACAAAGGTAACATGCGGATTAAAAAATATTGTAACGGCAGGGTCTTTTATCTCACGGTGATAGTATAGGGGTCTTTGTCACAAAACAAATTACAGGGGTCTTTGTCAAAGATCCTAATAGTACAGAGGGGTCTTTCTAATTTAACATAATATAAGCAAGTAAAAACTGTTAAGCCACTAGTATACAACTTATTAATGAATTATTGTAGTATTTAATTTAATTTAATAAACAACATTAAATATTTAACAGCAAAAACCAAAAAGTCACCCCCGAATCCCCAGCTGTCTTTCGGGCAATGCGGGCAATCTAAGCCACGTCACTCCACCCTTGCCCGTCTAGCTGTCTCCACCTTCGTTTCGCTTTTCTAAGTAAGATCAGAAATTCCTCCGACTACAATGTGAAACAACAACACAACTAGCAAAATAATTAAATAAATATAAACCAGATCCTTTCTGTTCTGTTCTGTTCTCTTCCGTGATCTCTTTTCCCATGATGATGATGATGATGATCACTGGACTCTTCTCAGATTTTACTCAATCCCTAAGTGTATGTGCACGAATCCTTCAGCGAGATAGGAACGTTGAGCTTCTTTGGATTAAGAACTACGGAGCACTCGATCGTCTTGTAGAACTTTGGTTTAACCAATCTGCCTAGAACATAAGCCCTTGATCGAACCGTGAAACTCAGTTTCAACGGCACCGGCACCGTTAATTTCCCCGTCGAACTGCTCAAACCTGCCCCACTTCCATACAGAGGAATCTTGTTCCCCATTACTACCACCGTCATCGTTCTTTGGCTCTTCCTCGATTGATAGAACTTCTTTATCTGAAATTGGCCATTAGACACCACCCAAAAAGAAAAAGTGAGCAAAGGATCAACTTTAACGAAAATGACACAGATAGAACAGTAGCGTTTGTTGATTCATTGATTGATCTAAATTCCTCAGTAATCAGCAAAAGAAAGAAGAGATGGGTATTGGGTGTTGCAGCTTACGGTGCCACTGGCCACATTAAGTTGAGTATAGGAGAGATCTAGAGGCGTTGATGTTACATGCACTCCGAAGAACGTCGCAGTGTTGCGAAAAGTGAGCTTAACAGTGGAATTCAAGGAGACCATATCCGTTGCCACTCCTGTAGAGTCCGTACCGGATTGAATCACTACTTGCTCGAATGTGATGCTCTGCAAAATAAGGAAATAAAAACCCCATTTCAGACCAGACGGACAAGAGAAATGTATGTGACTGTGTTCAATAATAGACGGTTTTGTTACAAAATGTTGTATTGAACTCTTGATTTTATCTGGAAATAACGAGAGAGAGAAGAGAGAGATTGCATTGACCTTCATGGTGATCTTAGGCTTCTGAGGACGAGCGGCTCCCCACAAAATCAAGGAAAAGAGAGAGAAAAGGAAAATGAAGCCAAGAATGAAAGCGAGGAAATAACAGCGACGGGGAAGACTCTTTTCGGTGGATTCCTCTTCCAGAAGGCCCTCTTCTTCAATCACGGCGCATTCCTTCCACGGCTTTTGTCCCTTGCGCTGACCCCCTCGAGATCCGTCATTGGGCGTGATCTTCCGCGACCCAGGTTTGAGGGATCCGGAGAATCGACTGGTAGAGGATTCACGAGAGTGACGACCGAGCGAGGAGTGGGAATGGTGAGGTGAGCCCATGGGGCTGAGCACCGGCGAGGAATGGAAAGATGTAGTCGTCTTCTCGCCATCGTGAGAATCTCGTGATGGGCTCTGCACGTAGTAGACGGGCCTTCTAGGGGACCTCGTCGGCGACGATGCGGAGAGACTTGTTACCTCTGAATCTGTCTTGGCGTGCATTTCCTTTGTCGATGTTCACTCTTGCGCAACTCGGAAGGCTATCTCAAAGAGAGAGAGAGAGAGATCTATAGCAGCACCCAAACTCTAATTGCAGTCGTCTGTATTTCTCTCTAGAAACCAAAGTCCTAGAATTGTTAATTCAATTTTATATTGTATGTGAAGTGGAAAGGAGAAGGAAGCTCCGTCGACTTCATCATCAAGTCTGAACTCTGAAGTCTAATAAAGACTAAAACGAGTGATATCCTCCTGTTCATAATTTGGTTAGTAGAATTTTAATTAGGTTCAATTCTTAAAATAATAAGATATTGTACAAACCACGGTGGTGCTGGCGCGCTGTGTATGACGGAAGTACCGTTTGATAATTCACCATTAATATATGGTCATTTTAATATTTCAACCTTTAATATGGAGTACGAAACGAAATGATGCCGTTTTTTAAACCCTAAAATTAGTAGGGTAAAATACAAAAACCTCCCCTGATTTTTTGACAATCATAAGAATCACCCCTTAAGTTTTATTTTAATAAAAATCTCCCTTAAACTTTTGAAAAACTACATATAAACTGCATATACCTCCCTTTTGTCATTGAACCAAATGGAAAACATTCAACTGATGCATTAATTTTTCCAAAATGGCCATCCTACCCTTTTAAAGGATTCTCGAGTCCTGTTATCATTCTCATAGGACATGAAAACGTTATTCCTGCTAATTGAATGATTCTTGAGCTCTATTAGGTCTTCTCTTTCTATTGGCGTAGTGTGCTGGACACGATGCAATAGGTCTTCTTTTTCTATTGGCGTAGTGTGCTGGGAATCCTTTCACCATGCTGACTTGTGGACTTCACCTCACTGTGTTTGGGTTATTCAAACCTAGCCATGGCTTATGTGCTTTTGTCCCTTGAAACTATACTTCACTTTGTCAGTTCGGGCTACATCTTCACTCCAAGGGGGTCCCAATGTGTTGTGCCTCAAGGATTTGACCACGCTCTATGCGAATGTGACAACTTTTACCCATGATGATGCCGCACATACACTCGCCTCTATGATGTGTGGTTGTTGCGAATGTTCCACCTTATTGAGTTGAGCATGTCCTCTGATGTTGTGCCAGTGTTGGGCCGTCATGCTCTAACAACCAATGTACTCATATTCTTAACTTTCCAATATTGTGGCTTCAACAGAGGACCCTTTTAGGTGCAAAACTGCCACCTCAGTGATATTCCTTAACCAACTACTACAGAAATAGATCTGCAGTGGGAGAAATCTATGCATCATTCGGGCCATGTGCAGTCAAGCAAGGCTAATAAAGACCATGTGCCAGCTTGATGATTGGCTCCACTAAGGTTAGTGGCACTAGATCATGACCTCATGGCTTATGATCGGGGCTTTGTGCTGGGTTTTGCTGATCCATGAGAGGCACCTCTTACATGTCAAAGGGGAATTGCTATGATGAGAGGTATACGTTGTGTCGATGATGATAGACAATCACTCGACCAGAACACACCTGTGCATTATGGGCAATGAGATAATTCAATTAGCTTAAACATAAGACTGACGTGATGAAAAATCATGCTTGGGCTAGATCCATGTGCCAAGCCTCCCTTCAATGTGCGTAAAGAAGTGTCGTTCCATGTAGACAAGGTTAAGCCTCTATAATACCGTGACAATGTGATATGAAAAATCGTAGTAGCTAATTGTTCCCTCGCGTCTCTGGCGCGGTCCACGATTGCTTTCCAATTTTAGATCTATGACTCGGACTGGTAGCTTAACATCAATCAAACGCACGGCACAAAACCCATCCCGTCTTTGCTCCATCATGTTTGTTCTACAGATGCTTGGTTGGTTTTTATCACGAGGAACAGTCTATGCTGTGGGTCACCTTACCCGAAACTCGCGTTCCGTCCCTCTCAATTTTTTATTAGACTTGGAGGATCGGGAGGGACCCATGAGTATCAGTAGGCCACCATCACCATTTGACTGACTTCTATCCTTCTCTTCCTTACCCTGTTTTGGCTTGGGTGCCCATACATATCAATTTCACCCTCAAGATTTACATTAGCAGATACACACACAACAGCAGCCTCATGTTTTCACCCTGGAAATCTCCGTTTCAAAATTATACGACACGTGGCTAGTTATGGCCCCCAGTCCCCAGATCTCTCAACACTCATAGATTGCCAGTTGGACTTCTTACGTCCTAAACCCAAGCCTAATTTTACCGTTAAGGCTCCAACCGCGTGTTATCGGTGGTTCGAGAATTCTAGAATAAGAGGGCTACTTGGATTGCCTGCCTGGAATTACTTGTGTGACATGACATGTGATGATCATCCATTCATAGGGGTGCAAGTCGGGCGGGTGGACCGGGTTAGGCCCAGGCCCGGACCGAGCCCCCGAGCTCAATGTTCTAACTGTCTAACTGAAATTGGTATAAATTGAAATTTGATGCATTTACGTAAGGCTCGAGTTCAAGTTGGTCAATCTGCTAAAAATTAATATAAATGTGCATATCATTTGTGTATATGTTTTGTTTAACAAAAAAATAATAGATTAGGTGGGTCAGGTTCCTATTATCACGGAGATCGGATCTGCTCTTCACATAACACTTTATATGCATCTTACACACACATTATACACGTATTAGAACATCTCCCATACCTATAAATTATTATTCATGAGAAATGTTTTTAATACACGATGCATGTACATATATAACACGCACATCCCGTCTCATCGTCACGTTCACGCATACGAAACTACAACTCTCGAAGGCCACTAGATTTTTGCAAGACCTTAGAAAGCTGGGCGTATATGCCAACAACACCAACAACCAGTTCATTAATGTAAAGGAGCCCAGATGAAGATCAGTTCCCAAGTCAGTCCAAGCCCTGGTCCATAAGTCTGTATGTGAAGTACGAATTTCCCATCATGATCCTGCCAAAAAAACGTACTAATGTACAAACCTGACCATAATTGGACTAAACCGCTACATCGCAATGAGCCCGGTTTTGAGGCCCAGTGCATACGACTCCAATCTCAAAACCATGTCCTTTTAATAGTATAGTTTCCATTATTAATAGGGAATTCCGATTTGGTCCTCACAAATCCGTTTTTACACCTTTCTCAAAGCCCCTTGCAGCTATGCATTGGAGTATTGGGGTAATATTCTCAATGTACAGTTGCAAGTAGCTGTGGAGACCAAATTCGAATTCCATACTACGATAGGGCAGCAAACATTGACCATCTTTGAATTCTAATAAAGATGGAACGTGTGTTTGGCATCCTTGCAGTTGCTCTAGAAAATGGTGCCACATCAGTGTTACATCAGAAAAAAAACAGTATTCCAGAAAATGAGTGTTTGTTTAGAATTGTTCTTCCATAAAAAACAGTGCTTCAAGTCATGTTTTGAAAATCAGGAAGGTATAACTTGGAGTAAAATTTGGCGTTTCCTAGAGCTGTATCTCGTTGCTGCCAACAGAGATGTGAGATGGCACTGGATAATGGGTACCAATGCTGAAAACGTTTATTAGAGCATTAGTACCAAACAGAAAAAGTTGTTGCTCCAGAAAATGTCATATCTAGCAACAACGATTCTAAACAAGAAACAAAAACATCATTTTCTGAGAAAATGATGCTTTCAACCCACACATCTGTAGCACCGTTTTCTGAGAGAAGAGTGTTGTATCTGCAACATTGATGCCAAACATATATGTATAAAATACGGAAAATGAAATGTTCATTTTCAGCAACTTGACAGTCCTTTGATGACTGTAGATGATTTCTTTTAGCATGATTGTAATGGATTCAGAATCAGTATGGAGGTAAATACTTATTAATTAGCAAAAACCCAATTAGGACTAGAGAACAATTGGAGTTCATATTACAAATTTACACTAAACAGCATGTATCTTGGAAGATGCCATGATTTATTGGTAAGGAGCTAGACACTCCTTGCCTAATTCAAATGGCTTACTATGAGGCATACTCAATTAGGGTTGCAAACGATATCCAATTATCTAAATTTGAATTTGATCTTATTAAGTTGCATTTGGAAATGATGCAAATGGAGTGTAAAACCCGGTTCAGGGTAAATTTGCACTCTGTTTCACTTTTGCCTGTGTTTGGTAACATTATATTTATGTATTGACAAATGACAGACCAATGCATATTTACAATGATAATAAGATGTAAAAATACATCAATAAAAAAGAAGTAAGTTTGCATTCAAGTGGGCTTTTAATAAAAAGACATATGCTTTATTAGAATTCATGTTTGCATCTATTACAGTTAAAAGTTTGTTTGGTAAAAATGTAAATATGTCAGTGCAAAACTATCACAATTTTACAATTTATATAAACCATTTTATATTCTATATATTTGCATTCACACTTATTTGCATCATTTCCAAACGCAGCCTTAAGGGTTCTTTGGATTTGGTTCATTTATAATTGGAACAAATATGAATCTACCCTATCATACAATCTGATTTTATTCAATTTATTTTTATATGTTCATATATACTTAGAATTTATATTTTGTTGGCTTCAAACTTTCAATGTTGCGTTTTTATTATTAAATTGTCATATGTTCAAGTTTCATACAATTAGCTTCCGATTTATATTGTTCATGAAATACAATATCGAAGTCATTTTTAGCCTTTTTATATATAATATTTTTATCATTTTAGTTTAATTTATTTCATCATTTTTATGATACCATTTGATTGGTTATAAGCAAGGTTCAATGTATCGATGTATCGGCTTGTGTCGGTGTTTTTTTTATGTTTTATTTTTCTTTAAACTGGTTCAGAGTGGTCTGTTTAAGTACCGATTGCCCTCTGAACCATGGTCTGACCTGATACAACCCCTGTAAGGGCATATCGAAAAGCTATTAATAGGATCCATATCGACCGGTACGTATCAATACTTTGAATCTTGACCATAAGTTTTTTTTGGTATCATAATCATAATTTGGATCTATCCATTTCCAGTTCGATTCAATCCATTTGCACCCTATGTGTAATGTAGTACTCAATGAAAAGGGTTCAATTAGGATTAGGGTTGATGAGAAGTGATTTTGAGCAGGTCAAAAAGATTTAAAAAAATAGAAGCTAGTAGTGATCAATGAGCAATAACCATGCTGTCATTCTTTTGCCGCTTGATCAAGATGAATCGTTGCTATCAAAACCAACCAGCAAATTAGCCTCGTATTCA